TTCATAGTCACTGAGAATTTCAGGGCAAGGTCTGGAGGAAAACAACAAGGTAGCTTGTCCAGGGAGCCCCTTCTCAACCAAAGGAGTAGCAAAGGTAGAAATATGGCAGTTAAAAAGGGGTGTTGATGACCAGTAACAGTGGTCAGCTCATGGTATGCAATTGCATCTCAAGGCATTAGGAGATGACCTCACTCTCAACAAGAAGCATGGGGATAGACAAGACTGAACCACAGTGATGGAGACAAGTACTTTGATGAGGAGGGACAGTGAGAGCTAACACAAAGCAACAGGTTTATGGGCAAAGCAATACATGAAGAATATTATCTGTGTTAAAGTATTTCCAGTGGATACAGATGGGACAAGATAGTATCTTTCAAGACAAGACAATATGATATTGCGTTATCAAATTATAGCTGAAAAGAATTATGAAAGTAACTATCAGCAAGAAGAGAAATCGGAATCAGGTGTGTCAAGAATCCCATTTACTGAGAAAAGATGGACAGAGAAGTTACAACGGTGAATATTGCACTTTGAAATTACAGTTTAAACATTCATGCGGCATTGCTGTGATACTGCATTATGTAGTAACATTATGAGGTAAGAGAATTAGGTTCCTCTGAAACTTTCATAAAAAATTATCAGACACAGATACCCTGTGAAAGTAGGATACTTTTGAATATGCATGTTCTCGTTCCACATGGACATACTTGCATGACACTGGTAGTGCATCTGCTTAACCTACGTATGAGGATTTGATTCATCAAATGTGCACCTGCAAATTTAATTTCTCCCCATGACCTCATTCTACCTGTAGTCTAGACCATCCAAAAGTTGTGTAACTGCACAGGAGTATGAACCGAGGGTGAACCCTGCTGGAAAAAATGAGTGGATTTGCTGCAGCATGGAACTTTAGGGTAAGTATAAGTTACTACTAGGGGTAAATTTCACATTTCTGAACAATAAAATCTATGGTGTCATCGGTATCTATAGATAGATAAGCCTGAGACTCTAGTGAGTCTTTTATAGTTTTTAAATGTTTGGTTTGTATTGCAATTGCCTATCACAGGCAACTCAGTGAAGGTATCACAACACCCAAATAGTAAGCATCTTCCTGGCAGGATGATAGAAAGAACCTGTTATAGGTTTTCACACTCATTAATAATTCTCTGGTGAAGAAAGGGAGCAGATAGTATGTCTTTTAATTGTCTTGACTTTACAAAACCTGAGATTGCTTCAGAGAGTCTATCTAGAAGGAAAAAAAAAATCTATTTTAATGCTATGATAACCACATTAGGGACCCATTATAGGTGACGTGAATGTTGTCCTTGGAATTTGAATAATATTTGCTTTACTTGTTCCAGGGGCTGGTAGTCAGCTCTCATCCTCTCTTCTGCATTTACTGGCAATCAAAACACAAGCAATGAACAGTAGTTCTTCCTGAGAGAACCCTGTGCAAAGAAAATACAAAATAACTCAAAAATGGGGTCCTTGTCCAAGAAGTCAATCTGATAGTATCTCAGCTACACCAGTAAATGTCTGAACCAAACCTTGCACCAATGCTACTCTCCTAGAAACAGAATCCAAACTGTGCATAAATGACTATATACCTTTGAGCAACGTTTTTCAACTTCAAGTGCCCATGAATAACTGACACTTTGTACTGACAAAGTGGCATGCTGTGGGCAAATTTATACCTTCCTCATCAAGTTAGCCCGGACCACAGCAGCTTCTCATGGCCCTCAGCGCATATGAGGATTCAAGTGCACTGTGCGCCCTGCAGAGACGTGACTAGGAAACAGCCTTACAGAAGGCCAAGTGTTGAGATGCAGGCTGTGCTGCAGACAGAAAGGCTAGCAATATTTTTCTATTTTAATATACAATGTTATTGAAAATGACGGGCGATAAGTTATCGAAGTGTGGACCATAGTGGTGGGTACTAACTGATGCTTACTAATACACTGTGAGATGTACTTCTTAATGCCACATTGTACAGGAGACAGCTGAGCCCACCACCTTGATCCCCTCCAGGAGAAAGTGTAGGCCTGTAATTCTAAAGAAGGAAACCCTAGAATAGCAATTTCCCAAGAGGAATCTGGCTTTTTTCCTTGTGAAGAGCGTGACTGTTCTTGCCATTACTAACATTCAGTTTTCTTGACATTGTCCTGCCATTTCATCATCCATTTCAGAAGCCAGTTCATTTCTGAATCTGTATAACCATTTGCAAGTTGGTTTAAAAAATGTCATTAAGAGCAAAAATATTCTTTTGAGTCAACCACTGAAAAGAGAGTGCATGACTGCACCATATGTATTACTGCTCCAACATGCCCCTGACTTCTCTCTTCCCTGTATTTCTAGCTGTTGCTTTAGACCAGACACTGCAGGTTTATGGTAAAAAGAAGTTAAGGGGCATTTAGATCTTGGGCTTTCCACCTAATCTTCAAGGGCCTATTTATAAAAACATTCTGTATGAACTATATTTTCAACTGAAATTTAGAAAGCCACATTTTTTCTCAAAACTAACAATGAAAAAGACATTTTTGTTTCCATTTATGTTTGATGCTACTTTAAAGCTCAGCACTGCTAAGATACTTAAATACATGAAACAGATCCTACAAACTTTATTCAAACACTTGGCCCCATTGAGTTCCACTTGTCCTTTTATGCTTACCAGGAAAGCCTCTTGTACTGTGTGAAAGTGTTAGCTGTCTTCTGTCCCATAGCTATGTAGTCATAAAGTCAGAAAGGCTAGAGTCTTCTTTACTGTGTTCTAATAGTTTATTCCCAGGGATAAAAAAGGCAAACCATAGAATCATAGAATCATTGAGGTTGGAAAAGACCTCTAAGATCATCGAGTCCAACCGTTGACCCAACACCACCATGTCCACTAAACCATGTCCCT